TGTGAATTAGATAACCTTTGACCCGCTGTTAGAGACTTTGATTTTAACAGCATTAGATTTTCGAGCGTGTTATTTTACACATTACGTCACTAGTGAAGACATTTGTGCGCAATACGGGTGAGAATAACGATTTTTACTAATGTTTATTCGCTAATGGTTATGTTAGTTACTTGCTTGCCTGTTTTGGGGTACAGTTTGTTATACAACATGGCGTCGGTCCAATTTGTCGCTGTGATCGACTATATGACATTTCGTTGTATGTACGAGCTTTCTTTGTCGGCAGTGGCCGATGGGATATTAAACAATGACTCTTGCAACTTTTTTTAATCCGTATGAGCATTGAAAGCCACGTCCCGCGGCCACAACGAGATTTGACACGCCACTTTTGAAGACTCAAGGACGCATGTATCTAACGTTTTTATCTCGGGCTCAAACTTCAATTAGAGGATGGTCTGTATTATTCGCGATTAAAAACAAACAAAAAATCTATTATTACCGAGCTGAATCTACGGTCTCATACGAATGAAGCCCCTGTCTGAAACAACTGAAATAAACAAGCCTCGCTTTCAAGTACACGCTCGAATACTAGTGTCAGTCGTGGATTTACCTCGGACAACTAACACCTTATTAACACAAGACTAACTAAAACTGTCGTATTTATACCGTCGCAGCCACTTTTTATTTCCAGTTTCAAAAAATTACAAAAAATGTCTAATTGAACCGGTCATGTTAATTTCATGTTTTAAGTCGGTAGCCCACATAGAATATTATCACATTTATCTCAATAATTGATCAGTCATGATGACCCCCTTATCACTTATGACGTTTTGTCATTCTACTCACAAAATATAAAAAAAAAGATTTTCATGAAAGTATTGTAAATGCATTTGTTATTCGCTGGGTTTTAATTTTACGTTAATAAGTATATTCGTTAATAAGTAAAATTTGCTAAATTATTTCCCTGCCAAGGTTGTGAACTTAAAACCTGGTGAAATTGCCCAAAACATCAAAATAAGTGGTAATAAATGCGAAAATGGTTTTACAGTATATTGTGATACATTACTTAATAATGGATTTTCCGTTCACTTCGAGATCTCGCATGATGCGCGAAATGTGATGACCGGGTGTCTGTCTCTAAATCGAATGATTTAATTCTGAACATGAATTTCTTTTGAAAAATTGCCGGAGAAATCCGACTTTTCACGAC